TCGATCCTGGGAACTATTACAAGATGTATACACATATTTATACATATGTATAAAAGATATATAAAGATATATTAAGATAAGATAAGATATATATACTAACGATATACTTATATAAGATATAAGATATAAAGATATATTTATATATATAAAGATATCGCCAATTTTCTGTTTTACCATAAAACCCGTCAGTAACCGACCATCTCGAGCAAAGGCACCAGTAAACTTCAGGCGCCAACATCGTGCCTTGCTAATTGAGCTCCAGTCGCTTAGGGAGCACGAAGACCGTATTGTTCTTGTCGTATTGTCCTTTTTTAACCAATTTTCATGAAAAGATAGTTATACGTAGCTCGACGACTCGTTTATTAAGATTGACACAAAACAATGAGTACAAGAGGGTCGAACGAAATATGCGCCTTGATCTAGTATGTAATAGTAATACAACGGAGTGAAGACAACTGCCAGCTGTGCCGGTAGTTTCTACCGGATAGCGCTAGATGACGTGATATTATGCCTTGTCGACTCCTTGCGGCTGCCCCATATCTCAAATTTGGATAATTAAATATTCCTATTAGAGATAAACCAGTGCAACAATAAGGACTCAGAGAGACTAACAGATGCACAGCAGCCACGTGACCATTAAGGAATAATGTGCAGATGCAGAGATTCTAAGTAGCTCAGTTGAGGTCGGACAAGTTTATGCTAATCATAAGAATAGGCAGAGACGACCTATCTGCAGATCACAATCACTTTCTCATGGAGACAGAGAATCTTTTATGGAGTTTGGGGTGCGCAGAGATTGCTGCAAACGTTATTACTTGTTCTCACTTAATATCCTTTTTTATATTTTATAAATATTCAGATATTAACATACAAAGAGACTACAAGGAGATTTCCGATCGCAAGTTTTTACAGCTGTGAGGTTGCTAACATATAAAGGTTTCATGAAGCACAATCCAACCCTTGGAACACAGCGAAAATAATGATCATAATCAAATTATAGGCATTATATCTCTTAACCACACTTATCGAAATACTACAGTTATGTGTTTAAGGGTTAGCATGATGAACAACCAGCAGGATGCAGTAGTGTCATTATTCCCATTCAAATTCATATATTCTCCCACCATCTTATCTTCATATTCTTTGTAGAACTACTCGTTGTCGGCATTGGAGCAAAAGTTGTCGGTGACTTCCAAAATTTCCCTTTTGGATGCAATGCTAATCTTTATGTTATTGTGTGGAGATAACACGCAGCCCAGGTCTCCGGAACCTATTCCATCTTCCGGATCCAAGAAAACATACATCGATAGCGAAACATTGATCAGCCGGCTACATACTGAGAAGAACAGACGATAGATGGACGAAAGGCAGATATACTCGCGGCTGCCACTGCTTTGTAGATCACGGTGTGAGTCTCGCACCGGTAACCATGCTCCAATCAAACCACCGATCGCGAAGTAATGAAACGAATGACAAACGTTTTAAGGTCCACACAACTCGTGAAAACTGGCCCTCGAGGTATCCAAGGAAGTTAGCAAGTGTTGTCAGGAGATTCCTTCCGCTTCTGTAAATAGCCTTTAACGGCCGATGCTATTCGCGTCGATTTTTCAATAACATCGTATTGTGCACTTTTAGGTTGTCTTCTCAGCTCCACAGGGAAGTTTTTGTTGTTATATATTCAGTCCTATTGGCAGCCCCTAATTTTCTCACATTTCAGGCGTTCCACAAGTGAGTTTACAGGATTTCAATGAGGACAAAAATGGACTTCCTATCCCAATTTTCATGCTGTTAATGCGATTTCTTCTTCCAGTTTTTATACTTCACTTTTTATGATTAAAATACATAATAACGCTCTCCACCATTTGAACATTCACATGTTTTGATGACATGTGACATCCATCCTCACTAATTGTGCGAGCCCCAGCACAATCTCCATTTTTCGGAGATTTGCTGGTTAAGCTATTGTGGTTCCCTAAAATCCCGAGGTCAGCCTGGCCAAAGTCTGCCCCAGGTCTTCATCACCATAGGCAGTCGCAGCCCTTGTCGATCAGAGGGAGATTTGCCACCATGCGACCTTGATATCAGGACGATGGTGGATCCTGGTATTGGTTTACTCTTAACTGGGCTTCCTAATGGAAGCGCCGGATTCCCTCTTGGCTTGGGTAGCCTTGCTTGGGTGATGAGTCCCTTTGCTTTACATCGCACCCCGACACCCAGGAACACCTCCCAGCCACAATGAGGCGGTAAACCGTTAGGAGGAATAATAGGAAGTAAATAAAAAATTGTATATGGACTTGGAGAAGTTCTACAGAGAAGACCACACATTCTTCAAGGTCATCATCGGAGATTTCAACGCCAAGATTGGACCAAGAAGAACGTCTGAAGAACGTAACATTGGGACCCACAGATTAGAAAGGAACGAACAGGATGAGCGGCTGTCTGAGTTTATCATAGCGACCAAGACGATCCATGGTAACTTGCAATTTCAGAAGCCTCACCCTCAGCGCTGGACGTGGGAGTCTCCCAATGTACAAAAATTTCACAACCAAGATATCACCATTCTACAACGATATTAACATTGACGACAAAAAACGAGTTTAGGAAAGGCGATACCATCGCGTTAAAATTATTTATCGCCAAAGTCCAGAACGTCATGAGAACATTGAAATGGGATAATATGGGCATGAGAATCGATGGTCGGCAGTTACACCATCTTCGCTTTGTTGATGACATCGTCCTTATAACACCAAACATTAGCCAAGCGGAACGTATGCTTGCCCACTTCGATAAAGCCTGTGGAAATATTGATCTTCGACTAAATCTCACAAAACGACGTTTATAAGGAATGGACTGGTTACTTGTGCCTCACTCACTCTTAACGGAATGGATACCACCGAAATATGACGAACGACCTAGCTTCAGAACTAAGCAAAAGGAAACGAGCGGCTTGGGGAGCTTTCAGGAGCATCAAGGATTTAGTGAAGAGAACAAGGAACACTCGACTCCGTGCCCACCTTTTCAACTCAACGTTACTTCCTGCTCTAACGTATGCGTCAGAAACCTGGTCGCTGCGCAAGCAAGATGGGTCACTCAGCGTCATTGAACGCGCAGTCGAAAGGACGATGCAAGGAGTATCCCGTTTCACACAAGTAAGGGATGGAATTCGAAGCTCCCATCTGCGTCAACGATCAAAAGTAAAAGATGCCGTTTTGTACGCCAAACAGTCGAAGATAAGGTGGGCCGGACACGTAATGCCTATGAATGACAACCGATGGACAAGAGCCGTTAGTGACTGGATTCCTCGGGTTGTCAAACGTACTGCAGGAAGACCACCGACCCGATGGTCAGAGTTCTTCACGAAAAGCCTAGAAGAAAGATATGATGCTCGACGAGTCCCTAGAGCGAGCAGAACCCACTGGCCTACTCTTGCACGCGACAAGGAAAAATGGAAGATTTATTGGCGCCCGCTCGAGTCACTCGACGGTCAACGGGACTACAGGGGATACTATAGGTGACAAGTGAAATAAAAAATTAAGCATTACGATTTCGACTCCAACCTCAGCTTAACTCACTCTCGTTGTTGGGTGATTGCTAATGACGTTGTTAGAGAGAAAGAAAGCTAAAGCAAGGGCCTCAGTGGTGCAGTGGGTAACACGTGAGCACCCAGAAAGGGTAATCGCGGGTTCGGACCAGGTCGAGAGTTTGAGTTTTGCGAATGCCTCGGAATCATTGTGGTTGTGCTTTATTGGAGTATGCCTGTTTTCAGGCTTCGATCCAGATTCTGTGCACAATCTAAACATCCAGCGGCGTGTATGGATAGGTCCATGTCCTTCGTACACCGATTTAAAAACCGAAAAATAGAACTTCGAGAAGTTGATTCCTACCCTCCATATCAAATTGCAAGACCTAAGCATGACATCTAAAAATATGCAGGCGTAATGGAAAAGAAGTTTTAATAGATATCTCCTGACTTTTAGAGTTTTGGAAATAAGACATGTTTGGAGAGGATTCGATCATGTTGACGGCAAGGAATTACCGATTTCAATCAAGCAATCATTGTCGTCGCGTTCATTCACACGTCAACAAACCAGCACAGGTTCAATCCCCTGCGCGGACTTTCTACCTAAGTGTTACTTTATTTTCTCTATTTTATACGGGATTACTTTTTATGTACGCCGCTGTACGTTTCCGACTGTACATCTTGGTTCCAATGTGCATCACAATGGCGCTCCAATTACACGCGGTCCGATGGACCTACCACGCGATAGTAGCTCTTGTCCTGAAAGAGTTAAACCGTAAAATTATACTAAGTGATTCACCGCATATCGTCGTGCTACTGCACATGCTACTCGGACTTCTGCTCTTCAACTGACGTTAGGCTGGTGTAGAGTCCGTTTGTCGAAGCAATCCACACGTCAGTGAGAATAGATGCCGCGGCTATGTGACGCGGTTCTGTGACGTATGGCACCCAGACGTTCCTCTTCTATCGAATCGCACAATCCTCTTACTTCTTCACGGCCACGTACTCCTTACTTCGTAGTACGAACGATCCCGTCCATAGCATACTCGGTCCGCGTCACGACACGCGTTGCGAGCTCTCCGCATCGATCAATAATTCGTCGCGCCGGTCAAGCGTTGTAACACAACGCTTCTGATGTCGCCGTGGTAATCAGTGTTCTATCGCGTACCCCTCGAATGAGCAATTTCCTTATGGCCAGTTCTAGTACTCGTGCCGTTTGGTACTTTACTTGCTTACTTGATACTTGAATAATGGTAGATCACCTTCCCACAAGACTCCCTGTGAGCTGCCGTAGATGACGTCATTCAAAATTTTCACATGGATTTAGGTGAAAAGACGAAAATTAACTAGTTTTCACTTTTCTTCTCGTATGTTCCTCATTTATATGTCTGTACTTCGTTTTAAGAAGCTTTCGTCTTCATTAACCATTTCGTGGATTTATTGATTGCCGTAGTGATTATTGATTCCCGATTTCAGGACAATGTCCTCGATTCATTACAAGTTTCGGGCGACGTTAGAATACAAGACACTTCAGTTCGATGGTCTACACATAACAGGAGCGGACTTGAAAAAGGAAATTTGCGCGAAGGAAGGAATTAAGGCCGAAGCTTTTGATCTTCTCCTGCAGGTGAGTTTATAAACGCACGTTGGATATTTTCGGAAACAGAGAACCCTTACTGTAGCAGTTATCTGTGCCATTTTCATCGAGTACTTTCAGAATGCTCACACGAAGCGTAGCTATACGGCTGAAGAGCTGATACCCCGAAACTCATCGATCATCGTTCAGCGGGTACCAAGAGAGGATGCGGAGAAACTGCCCAAAATCCAGTATGTATTTATGGTGTTTACTTTGCTTACATATCTTTCTTTTCGATCAATGATGTCGACTTTGTTCAAGAACTCTCCACTTCCTTTATCTCCAAAAAGAAGAAGAAGTATCGAGTTTAAACCCAATTATATGTAGAAACCCGACTATATGGTTGAGAAGTAAAAAGATATGAAAGGAAATGTGAAGGATATTCTGGTCGCTTCTCTTCCTGGGAAGACATTACTAAGTGCAATTCAAAGGGTTATCTTAAATCGCTGTGGTAATGCAGTCACAGTAATGTATATGAAGTTCTCTTCAACCTGTAACGTCCATTTAGTAAAGCGGTTTTGTTGTGCGCTGTTTGTAGAGTTATTCAAGACGTGAAAAGAATAGTTATGGGAAATATCAGTTCTGTTTAACTTGTGGCATGCGCTGCGGTGCATGGATAGTGTGGTTGCGAGTGAAGATGTTTAGTCAACGCCTAATTTCTACGACTTCATTTTCATTTTCGTCTTTATTTCCTTTCCTCTGTTCTTCAGTTATCCGTTCAGTTTTTTGAAACTTGTACTGAACAGTCAAAATAGCAATCTGGACTTTGTCGGGTTGTGTTATAATAATTTCCTCTGTTGTATTGCATGCGTAGAATATTTATTTTAGAGAAGGGTATTACCAGTATGCATGGTAATTTTCTCTTAATACATGGTGTGCACGTTCAGATTTCGAACTTCTTTCAGAGGCGTAAACACTGGCGTTGTTGTCAGAAGTTCGACGGCAGAAACTGGGATGGTTGCTCCTGCACCGATGAGCACGGTACGTACGAATAATTTCTAGTTTTGTATTTTGATTTTTGTTTTAAAGTATTGATTCGGGCTTCCAATGTACACTTTGTTTTATTTAGGAGGAATTTGAGAAATTGTCGGAAGAAGATCAAATCGCACACATTAAAGACGTTTCCACTGCAAAATACCATTCTAGCAAGTAAGTGCTCTATAGCTTCATATCCTGACAGGAAACTTTCAAAAAACATGTCAGATGTTAAAGGCAAACATAGCAGTGTGAGTGTTCCGCGTGAGCCTTCCGGGAAGGGTTACCATGGTTCGATATAGCCTGGGCTCGAAGTTTTACGAATATCTCAGCATCATTGTGGTTGTATCACATATCATACCCGATCGTGAAAACTTTAGCAGGCAGTAGATAAAAAGTTAACAATGTGATTTTGGCCACAGTCTCGGCTTAACTGAGTTCAATTCCGATTTGTGCTTCTCAGATCAATCCCGCTGACGGGTGATTGGTGATGGCAGCGTTAGGTAGAAAAACAGCTGAGAGAAAGGTAAAGTAATTGCCTCAGTGGCGCAGTGTGTAACGTTCGCGCCCCCGGAAAAGATAATTATGGTTTTATCTGGCATAGGGTCCAAGTTCTGCTAATATCTCAGCATCGTAGTGTGATTGTGTTCGAAAACAGTCTGCGCTAGTAAAGTTCCCCTAAGACGAGTCCTCTTTAGTGACTTGTTATTGGTATCAGTGTTTGAATCAGTTTTTCTGTTAATACTTCCGTATTGTGACAGTCGGTGCTTGGAGGATTTTGTACGTACAGCAGACTTTTTGTTCATAGCACCCATGAACCGTTTTGACATTCAAGAACCCTAATTTACTCTGCTGCACCATAGAGTTTAAAAGTTTAATCCGTCGACAGCTAGTTTTCCATATGTTATTGGCGGTTTATCTTTGTGTTTCATGGATATCACCTAATGAGAATATTGCGCACTCATCTGTCGCCCCTTTCATCCTGTGGTGTCTCGAACGGGTGTCAGCGAACCATCCATTTCATGTTCTCGCACAACGTGGGAAAACTCAGTTACTGTTAATTAACGTTCTCATTACTTTTAAAAAGCGTTTTTAAATTTGGTGGTTAATGATCGTGTTTCCTGGAATACGAAGTTTCACAGTATGTGAAATACACAAGTGAGCGCATGCATTCAATTAAACCGTTATTCATTCCATCCTTTATGCAGAGAGTCTAGTCTTTATAGTTCTTGTATTCGGCTTATTATTTATCCAGCACAGAATTCCCAGATTTTTTTGTGGAAAGGTAGTCTCCTACACTTAGTAATTGAAGAGCTTTCCCAGTAACGTTTTTTTTTGAACATGCTCGTTGAAATACTAAGTTGTTCGGCAATTAATGCAGGACTTTAGTTTGTAATCTCACAAGTAGGACAACTCTGCTCGGAATGAACTTTGTTAGTCGAAATAGAAACGTTTGGAATCTACAATTTTTGTTTGCAAGAAACAAATAAATAATTATTCCATTTACAAAAACCATGGGATTTTGAAGGCGACGAGTTCGTTAAGGGCAGTTTCCTGCTCGAATTTGTTTCTGAAGCACTTCGTACGCAGAAAGGTGTTAAGTTGTCTGACGAAGTAGTAATCCATAAGTGAGAGCTTCACCAACTTTCGTGGTTTTAGACAGAGTTTCGTAACCCACCTCGTTCAAATTTCACAGTGTTGGCTGTGCGAAAAGCGGCTTACATCAGTAGTACGATGTGCTGCAAATTCGTACGACGTCTATTTGTCCAAGTTTCACGGTTTTCCAATCCTTTTTAAATACGGCGAAACATTCGAGATCCTAACACCAGATTCTTCTGCAAGTTTTCGAACATTTGTGCGTGTAATTGCTTGCAAGGAAACCTTCAAGTTGTAGTCCTCAATAGCGTAAGGACATTGATGACCTTTCTCATCTACATCGTCGAATTCTAACTCGTCGAACAAACGAATCCCGTTGTTACTTTTCCGGGGACTAAAGTGTTCACCATCTCACCATGCGAGTCCTTTGTTTCGCCTTTCGCTCAGCCATGTTATTCACCTATAGTTGCTATCAACAATCATACGTCAACAGGATTGATCTAGGGAAGACACAAATGAGCATTGGTCCCAGTTAAGCTGAAGCTTTAGTATACATATCTATGACTTTAGAACTCGAAATGCTCTCTGCTGTTTGACAATTTATGGGTGACTTGCTACTAATAAATTGCCATGTCATGTATTTAATCTAGATTTTGAAAAATCCGATCCTATATGTTATCTTGATTTTTTTAAACCAAATTAAATGAAAAGCTAAGCTGATTAACCATGTTGCTTTTAGCTTTCAAAAGAAGACTACGAATATAATGTCTGGACCACCACCTCCCACATACACCTGCAATCGTTGCTATCAACCTGGTCACTGGTACAAGAACTGCCCAATGGTAATCACGATCGCTGCGCGGATGCGCCTTTTGGTCGCCGTAAGCCTGTGTCGGCATGGGTTTGCTATTTGCTCCGTTTGGAGCAGCATTTATAAACCTGACTATGATATAGTTTTTATTAGTGCATACTCTTTGAGTATGTTCAGTTTTCTTTGAACACATCGGTCTATGTCAGTTTTTTGTTAGACATTCCTTTATTCTTGTTCTTCTGGTTGTAATGTTTTTATTTGTTGTTGAAATGCTTAGATGAGGTTATTGTACAAGACTTCCAAGTTACACAGGCCTTAAATTGATGCCCAGACCTGTTGATCTCAGCCTGCACTTACACAGCGTTGTTTTATTTGTACGGGTCTTCGAGATAAATTAAGAGCTACACCCCCTGTGTTAGTCATCGGATTATTGCGTAAGAAGTTACGAAGTTCGCAAGAGAACTTCATAGGAAATAATCCACAACTACTACAAGCTGATGGTCAAATCTCAGCAATAGTATCATAGTAAATGTGACCTCATAGCGCGTTTTCCATCATGGAAACACCGAGTATCAAGGCTGCCTCGTCGATTTTTGAGGCATTTAGGTTCCACTACTGTCATTTCAGTTGGCTACGAAGCGAACTACTGGAATTCCGTCACAAGAGTTGATGGAAACGACGCCAGAGGATCCACTGGCCATGTTGCATCCATCCGGAAAGCTAGTCGTTCCTATAATGCATTGGAAGGCGAGGCAGCATACAAAGAAGGCGTGTTATTATGAAGAATAACAAGTGTCACTACTTATTTCTAATTCCGAACGTTCAGGTGACAGAGGAAGGGCCAGCGATCGAACGTGTACCACCTCAAGAGTTGACGTGCCCCATTTGCTCACACCTTTTGAAGGTGTGACATTTGCCCTATTGAGAATAAAGTCTGGAATAAATCAGCAAAGTAATTCGAAAAGTTGGTTGACGCTGTCACTCCAGTAGTTAGGCTTTCAGGATGCCGTACTCACGACATGTTGTGGTCATTCTTTCTGTGCAGACTGTATTTCAAACAAATTAATGGAGTCGCCTGATCGACAATGTCCAGGGAAAAACTGTGATCAAAAGCAGGTGCGTCGTACCTCAAATATGGTTGAGTTGTTTGAGTTTCGTACAAGTTGAGAGTCCTCTGTCCCTCAGGGGTCTAGCGCTATACTTTCCAAAGGCTCCAAATGTGTTGTAGCACTACATTATTCAAAGATTGTTAAAGTTGTCTGTCGATGCCTTGGTACCGAACAAGACTGTACGACAAGCCGCTTTGGCATGGTCCGTAGGAGCGTCCGGTCCTGGAAACCATGAGCACGATCAAATGAGATTCAGGTAGGGTCATAGAACAAGTTCTCTCGTAAATCTGTAGGGAACAATTGCTGGTACTTCTGTAAAACCAGTGGGAGTGATTGCCTAGGTCACCATTGAATTAAAGCTTTCAGGATCGGCCTGCAACCAACAGCAGTGTCTTCGGCGTCCACTCCTCCACAGCCGTTAACTGCTGCAGTTGCGCATACGTTAACATCAACCACTTCAACGATCAGTCATCAGACAGATTCTCTACAAACTCAAACTTCACCCACCCCATTCACATTAGCGCCACCAGTTGCTCATTCAGTACGTTTGCGAAGAGTTGTTGCTAACATTAGCTGAAAAGGCAAATTCAGCTGGATCTTCCGATACGTTCTTGTAATTAGGTGTATTCAGGTTCCTACATCTTTTTCTCATCCGCCACCAAATATGGTTCCCGTTGTTTCTGCCAGCTCTTCTTCTTCTGGAGACTCATTACTTCCACACGGAGCTACAAGCCTACCTCCACCATCGATAAATTTGCCAATATCTCATGGTAAGATTGTGGTTAACTGGAAAACTAGTGGAAAAAAGCTTTGTGTATGTTTAGCTATGCATACTAATAGTACTTTGCCGCCTATACCTGGAATTGGATTGCCTTTGCAAACTCATAATATGCTTGTTCCTGGAACTGGACAACCAGCGTTTATGTTGGTTCATTTCTAAATTGCCCATCATAAAATGAATAGAGAAGCTGTAAGAAGTGCAGTTTATAGTTTCAATCAACCACCGCCAGTATCTACCATTAACCTTGGACCACCTCAACCTCAAATAATGGATGCATGGGATGCATTTCTTCATCGAAAGGACCGCGAGAGGGAGCGGCCACGTAAACGAGTGAGGTTAGCTGTTTGAGTTGTACTTTTAATGCACTGTTAACAGTTACACTTCAAGATTTCGTATCGGCATTTCCTTTTTTAGTTGATGTATGCTAATTTAGTGTGATTCTTTTTTTTTTTTCAAAAAACCGACTTTTTGTAAACCTCGGCATAGATAGTTGGTATATCTATTTATATGATTTTATAAACTGATCTTCGTAAGCTGATGCGAGGTTGGTATAGGTTTTCGTTGTCGTTGTTGTTGTTGTTGCCGTTACTATTGGTGTTGTTGGTCGAGGGCTAACGTTTCGGCGATTTCGCCTTCCTCAGAGCCTGAACGTATTTTATACAAGAACACTTTAATTATTCTGTGAAAAAAAGCTGAAGTATTAATGAAGATCAAGCTTTTAAATAGCAACGACAACAACAACGACAACGAAAACCTATACCAACCTTACACCAGCTTAAGAAGATTAGCTCATAAAGCCATACAAATAAATAGTCTTCTTTTTCATTTTTAAGTTTTCTATCATTTCCGTATATGTAAACTGACGGTGTAGTTGCCACGACCGACCGGCATTGATCAAGTGATTTTGTTCGTATTTTTTTGAGCAAACGCGAGGTGTTATTGTTCTTTGTTCACGATTAAGCTG